CACACTTTGGTATCTGTACAGATGCTTAACCGCAACCTTGTTCTACAAGCAGTAAATAAACAGGAAGCTTTGGAGAAAGGATGTGTTAGCAAAACAAGATTTTGCTCACTATCTTTACACAATTATTAAGTATAATTTCTTTTGTTGTTTAACTTTCCTCAGCATCAGTGTTGCACCTGTCTGTATTGTTTTATAAAAACCCATTAAGTAAATGGTAGATGTTTAACCTCAAGTGTAAAGATTAGATGTCTTTCTGGCAAATACTTTAAACTTCTCTAATTTGTATTTGTCAGACCTAAACAAAAGTGCCAGAAACTTTTATTGGTGAACAGTTCTTCATGATGATTTTATCCATGTTTTTTCCTAGTTGTTGATGTACAAGTTATACCTTGCTTTGGTAAAGGAATTTTAAGCATGAAAGTCTATATTTCACTAGTAGTCTTCTGTATGCTTTTCTTCCTTGTAATGAGGAAGTAACCCCAAAAATACATTTTTTTTTTTTAAATTACTACTTTGATGTGAAAATAATATTGACTCAATGAATGACCATATATCAAGACAACTTTTTTTTTTTTTCCCTCAACACTTTTGTTCACCAAAAACTAGTGTTCAGTGTTGCATTTTTCAGATATTCTGATAACGGGCGTTGTACTGGATTTGGTTGGGATGGAGTTAGCTTTCTTCATAGCAATCCATATGGTGTCATGGCTTGGATTTGTGACCAACACACTGGTGTTTTAGCTATTGCTGAAATCAAGGTTTTAGCTGTTTATCAACTCTTCCTGCACTGGCGACTAGACTGGGAGTACACAAGAAGTTGGGAGGAGACACAGTCAGGACAGCTGACCCCAACTAACTAAAGGGATATTTCATACCACATAACATCATGCTCAGCAATAAGAAAGGAGAGGAGGTGGGTTTTGAGTAGGTGCCCATTACTCAGAGACTGGCTGGGTGTTGGTCTACTTGTGGGAGGTGGTGAGTGACTGCTTTTGCATAACTTTTTTTGGTAGGGTTTTTTGTTGGTTTTCTCCCCCTTCATTCTCTCTTCTTCCTCTTCCTTTTATTTATTGAACTGTCTTTATCCCAACCCACAACTTTTATTTCTTTTGCCCTTTGTATTCTTTTCCCTGTTCCGCTACAGGGTGGGGACAGTGAAGGAGTGGCTGCCTGGTTCTTAGCTGCTGGCTGGGGTTAACCCACCACAAAGGATGAGTATTACAAATTAAAATATTTCAAAAAATGTGAAAATTATTCCTTATAAGTTCCTCAAAAGTGAGAAAAATTCAATCTTATAAAAACACATACATTTAATCTTTTAAGAATACATACAATTGGCCAGTACTTGAATATTAGAAAAAGATTATTTTATTTTATTTTTTCCAGTTGGAATGGCTAATTATTTGAAACTAGAGATGGGCTTCTAAATATGTGTGAAAGACTTTGAATATGTTCAGTATTGCTGATACTTAAGAGCAAAATAAAAAAGAAAAAACAACAGTGACAGTAATTGCATTTCCATCTTCATATTCTCATTAAGAACATATATTTCCCAACAGTAAAAGCCAAACAGCACATGAAGTAAGTTAGGCAGAAACTCTCAAGAAACAATGAGCATACTTTTTTTCAAATGCAAAACCAGCTCCACAGATTGAATGAAGACAGACGAACTTAAACAAATATTTTTTTTTTTTAAACTATAAAATGTAGTGTAGTGATAATATTAAAAACTTTGGTTGAAACATACGAGTCCATAAAACATAAAATCTTCAATATTAATGCATCAAACATCCCACAAGATTATTTTTATAGCTTTCTTCCCTTCCAGAGACATCATCAAATTATGCCAAATCTCAAAGATTCAGTTGTAAAGATTTCATTCACTTCTTTGACTTAGTCCCAATAGCTAGATTAAAAAGAAAGAAAGAAAAGAAATGCATAAGGGATGTACTATCTACTTTGTATTAATTTCTATCTACTAGAGTTATTAATCTTAGCACAAAAGTATTTGAACTAGAAATGTGTTCTTTGCATTTAAGTAGTCCGTTATGAATATTTTTTAAAGTCTAGCATTCCTGGGAATTATATTAATTGTTAACCTGTGATCAGGTTCATTTTTATATCTTATCTGTCTTTGTAAGAGGAAATATTACCTGGCTCCACTGTAGCTGAAACCACACTGACATTGTGTGCTACAAATTGAAGCTTAATATTGTCGGCTGCTGAAAAATGATGAGGGAGGTGTCAGAGCAATGTTTTAAAATCTTTTTTAGTTTCACAGGAACCATAAAGTGAAATGACAGAAAAGGAGGTGACGTACAATGCAGCTATATCCTGTTCTAGCTTTTAGGTTAAATTAGGCCATTTCGACAAAAGTTAAATCTCTGGCAGTATTTGGAGCAACATCTTGTTCAAGCCTCAGGCTGGTTTCCATCAGTTATCCTAGTGTAATCCTATGGCTTGTTTTCTATTCCACTTTATTTATCTGATGCTTTCTACACTCTTATTTAGAAACTCTCTTGAAGCACTGTACAATTCATTATTTTCATATAACTATCTTCTCCCATTTATCTTTATATTTTACTGACCATTCCCCCACTGATTCTTCAGAAAATCCTGCTGTTACCCTATCCTTGTGTAAAGGGCCAATGATAGGCCAAAAATTTGTGTATATAGAAAAGAACCCCACTTTTTCTTTTTTTCTTTTTTTCTTTTTTTTTCTTTTTTCCCCACAGTGGATTCAGTGTCTTAGACCAAGTACCATTAAGGTGAATATATTGCTAGAATGTTTTTATGATCTCTGTGCAACTGTGTACTAATGGCTGTTTCTGTCTTTTGTTTTCCTGAGTGCATGTAAATCACTTGATAAAAAAAGGGCCCATAAAGTTACCCATAAAATAGGTCTCCCAAAGACCTACTCTTTTAGGTTTGTTTGAGTATCTATAAGCATGAAAAAAACTTTAATCTCAGGAATCTCAGTGGGTGAATGCTGAGGCTTCTCAGAGAGCTGGATTTGAGTAAAAGTATTAGCTCTGAGCTCCTGATTGTGCTGTGAAGAATCTCAGTCCACAGTCACAATTCCAAACAATTAACTTGAACATCAAAGACTAAGTCTTAATTTTATCCTATTTATCTATAAATTGCAAGAAAATAGATTAAAACTATTGTTACTTAAAAGTCTAAATATGGGAAAATATGGATGTTCTAAAGATTTGGACATTAAACTGAGATGAAGGAAGCTCAGGTGAATGTAATCAGTGTTGTGACTGTAAATAATGGATTTAACCATTGTTTTATTCTGCTTTATTTCAACGAATTTTTAAACCTAGCTTAAAATAAAATTCTGCTATTAATACTTCTACATTTTGTATATCATTGTCATAAGCACTTATCAAAGGAGATCATATATCAGTTCAAGTAGATCAATAAATTATCCTTTTTATCTTTTTTTTCTTCTTTTTTTTTAACATGTCTTCAAGTAAAAAGATTTCTTAGGCTTCCTTTTCCCTTCTTGTGTTCAGCACTGGGGCCGCCAGTGTAAGAAACACATGGTCCTGCTCAAGTGGGTGCAGGGGAAGGCACAAAGATGATCAGAGGGCTGAAGTACCTTCCTTATGAGAACAGGCTGAGAAAGTTGAAGTTGTTCAGCCTAGAGAAGAGAAGGCTCTGGGAAGACCTTAGAGTAGTCTTCTAGTACTTAAAGGGGGTCTACAGGAAAGATGGGGAGGGACTCTATCAGAGAATGTATTTAGGAGTAACAGTTTTAAACTGAAAGAGGGTAGGTTCAGATTAGATATAAGGAATAAATTCCTTACTGTGAGGGTAGTGAGACGCTGGCACAGGTTGCCCAGAGAAGTTATGGATGGGTCCTCCGTGGCAGTGTTTAAGGCGAGGTTGGACAGGGCTGTGAGAAACCTGATGTAGTGGAAGACAGACAGATGGGAAAGAGGGAGGAGGGAGAGAGGAGGGAAGTGAGAAAGTAAAAAAAGCAAGAAAGCTGGCATGAAAGCAAGAGAGCAAGTGAGAGAAAAAGAGGAAAAGAAGGGAAAAAAGAAAAAAGGAAAAAGAAAAAAGAAAAAAGAAAAAAGAAAAAAGAAAAAAGAAAAAAGAAAAAAGAAAAAAGAAAAAGAAAAAAGAAAAAAGAAAAAAAAGAAAAAAGAAAAAAAAAAAGAAAAAAAGAAAAAAAGAAAAAAAAACCCACAAAAACAAAAACAAAAAACCAAGAGCCGAGTCCAGGGGTCAGATCCCTTCCCTGTCCCTGCTGGCCACGCTAGTGCTGACACAAGCCAGGATGCCATTGGCCTTCTTGGCCACCTGGGCACACTGCTGGCTCCTGTCCAGCCGGCTGTCAATCAACACCCTAGGTCCCTCTCTGACTGGCAGCTCTCCAGACACTCCTCCCCAGGCCTGTAGCGCTGCTGGGGGTTGTTGTGGCCCAAGGGCAGCCCCCGGCATTTGCCCTTATGGAAACTCCCCCAGTTGGGCTCAGCCCATGGCTCCAGCCTGTCCAGGTCTCTCTGCAGAGCCTCCCTACCCTCGAGCAGATCAACACTCCCACCCAACTGGGTGTCAGCTCCAAACTGACTGAGGGTGCACTCGATCCCCTCGTCTAGATCATCCATAAAGATGTTAAACAGGAGTGGCCCCAACACCGAGCCCTGGGGGACACCACTCGTGACCGGCCCCCAAGTGGATTTAACTCCGTTCACCCACAACTCTTTGGGCCCGGCCATCCAGACAGTTTTTACCCAGCAAAGCGTGTGCCCATCCAAGCCACGAGCAGCTAGTTTCACCAGGAGAATGCTGTGGGAAACGATGTCAAAGGCCTTACTGAAGTCAAGGTAAACAACATCCACAGCCTTTCCCTCATCCAATAAGCAGGTTGCCCTGTCGTAGGAGATCAGGTTTGTCAGGCAGGACCTGCCTTTCATAAACCCATGCTGACTGGGCCTGAGCATCTGGTTGTCCCTCATGTGTTGTGTGATGGTACTCAGGATGAGCTGCTCCATCAGCTTCCTGGGCACTGAAGTCAAACTGACAGGTCTGTAATTTCCCAGATGATCCTTCTGACCCTTCTTATATATGGGTGTCACACTGACCAATTCCCAATCTGTTGGGACCTCCCTGGTCAGCCAGGACTGCTGGTAAATGATGGAAAGCGGCTTGGTGAGCTGTTTTGCGGATCAGGGATACCAATTAGACTCAGACACCAGAGTGAAAAAGACCAGACGTATTTTACTCATAATAACTAAATAATGTAAAAGAACAATACAGAAAACATAAAATAAGAAAAGATAGAACAATGCACTTTAACAAATAGAAAAATACCATGTAATGCATCAAATCATTTCTGCCTGAGAAAGAGAATAGTCATTAAGAAAGATCCATCACCACTTGCATACATCACCATCACCCAGCCCCGCAGTGGCCGGGCAGCCCCGGTTACAGCGAGGGTTTGCAGAGCCTGTCCTGGCAAGGGGGAAATCCTACGCGGTGCGTCCCCCATAGGTGAGGCTGCCAAAGTCACTGCAAATGGGCCCAGCTTTATATCCCCCAAAATCAGGAAGCCAGAATAGCTGGCACCTTTGTTTTAAGCAGAAATACCTGGTTTCAATCTCACATTAGGTTCCCCCCAGAGCCTGGCCAGGGCTCAAGGGAGAAGCTAAAGGAGTTTCTGTTTATCTGATGGAATTCTGCATAAGGTCTCATATCAGGTCTGGGGGACAGACACCTGCCTCCATGACTCTGTTATTCTATTCACATGCAAAGGAAGGGAAATGTACATTCAAGGTAGCTCATCCTCCATGCATATATCATTGAGGATTACATTCCGGGTTAGCAGTTTCAGTTCAGGGCCTGTTGCTCAGGCTTCAACACTTCCACCTTTGACATCAGGATGGGTGGTTTATTATAACTTAGTCTAATACCTGTTGGCATAATGGTTACCAGTTATGAAATATACAGGATTCACCTATAGGTCAACTCTGTCTTGGGCCGGTTGTCCAAGCCTTAGCACTTCACAAGCACCCCAGCCAGCTCCTTCAGCACCCTCGGGTGTATCCCATCTGGTCCCATAGACTTGTGTGTGTCTGTGTGATGCAGTAGGTCACTGACTGTCTCCTCATGGATTGCAGGGGGGTCTGTCTCTCAGTCTCTGTCTTCTGGCTGAGGAGGCTGGATTCCCTCAGTACAACTGGTCTTGTTATTAAAGACTGAACCAAAGAAGGCATTAAGCACCTCAGCCTTCACCTTATCACTTGTTACCAGGTTTCCTCCCGAGTGTAGCAGGGGATGGAGGCTCTCCCTGGTCTGTCTTTTGCTGTTGACAAATTTGACATTCAGCTATATTTACTTGTGGGGTGCAGATTACATTTGATATCACTACTGAATATTGCACAGCTTTTCTGGGTTGATTATCCTCTGTAGTAATAAAGTAAAACTCAAATACGCAATTCTTTAAAATTAAACTTAACCATAATTTTTCTGTGTATTGTTTTTTCTACTCATAGACCACCAGAGGATTAATAGATGATTCATGGTGTGCTCCACAGACTATCCATTTCTTGTGTTCAAGATACTACTAGATTTCTAATTAAAATAAAATAATTTTTATTCAGTCCACTCAAAAGAATCAGTGATGTCTATTTAAGCAATGAATAGTTTTTCTTTGGCAGCAAAGCATAACTTTATCAGATTTTTTTTTTTTTTTTTTTTTTTTTTTTTTTTTTTCCCTCTCCTTGTGGAAATTTGAAATAACTGAGCAGTTAAAATTCATGATCTACACTTTTGTGTCATTATTATTGCATTAGCATGAAATTATGGTTCTAGTTAGTCATAATTATACTCATAATTATTCAATTTATCACTATAGATCCTCCTAGAAATTTTATTGGAAGAGTTATTAACATTAATAAATTGTTTTTCTTCATATCCATATTATTAATTCACCTCATGTGTGATATGAACTATCAGCCATAAAATTATTACAAACCCTGTTCTCTGTGTAGCTGATTTAATGATGGAGAGTCTGATAACCTTTACAGAGTTTTCTGGTACAGCTGCTTGTCTTCTTCACCAAAGGTAAACAGAGGGAGATAGGTCAACACTGAAACATTCAGTCTGAAATGCACTCAAGACACTTGACAGAATTATTTCTTTTTAGCATAGCAGTCCTTAAAAAAAAAAAAAAAAAAAAAAAAAAAAATTAGAATGATAAGAAAATCCTGATTAGTATATATCAATACCTCTATGAACTTATGAATAGCTGCATTAGTGTAATTCTTAAGAAAACATGGAGCTGGCTTACGGAACATAAATTGACACTCTGCATAGACCTACAATATTGGATCTACCTTCACATTTTCTGAGTCATATTCCATTATATATCCATGTATAAATGCTTACACATTTGTGTGTCTATATATACCTACCCTGGCTTCTTTCTTTCCCACCTACTGCCCTTCTGACAATCTTACCTACAAATGTGAGACTCATCATTGTCTAATAACCCTAATATGTGTTATAAATGAAACAAGAACACAACTCTATTTTCACACATCAAAATTAATGTCCACTTATTTGGTCATAGTTTCAAAACTATTTTTTTATCTTTGCAGCATATTGATTAATCCAAAAATTGAAAATTACTTAAAAAGAGAAATCTTTCTTGGTATGGAAAAAAACCTGCTGTAGCAAAACATTTTTAAATATATATGGCAGGGGGCAGAGGAACAGCCATTTATTACCTAGTCCTGTTGTTCTTTTAGAACAAATATCAATACTTGCATTACTGTACAAATTGATTTGCTAATTGTCAATTCCTAGTTTTTTCCAACACAAGAGTTCAAAGTACTGTAATTGACATATAATCTTTCATTTAATAAAACTGCTGGTTTATGTTAGATCTTGATATTAAAGCTCGGACTTTTGGGTTTGGAGTATTTTCTACTGTTCCCTTTTTCCACTTGTTTTCATTGAAAATATTTAATTATCATTTCTAGCACTTTCACACTTAAATAAGGAATGTAACTGATCCATAATTTTACAGTGCAAAGGTAAATAGGAGAAACTAATCAAATTAAAAACCTAAAGACTTAAGACTTTTCAAAGGTGGTCTCATAATAATGTGTCAAATATTTTTGGTGGATTTTCCTCAAGTCTGAATAATTTATTAACAGATAAATTAGATATATCATACTATTTTAATACTGCCTATGTAAAAGTCTCATTGTAGAGACTGGCATGGAACTATATACCAGATATTTCCTCCCATGTATGTATGTGGTGGTTTGACTTTGGCTAAATGCTGGGTACCCACCAAGTCGCTCTATCACTTCTCTCACCCCTTGGAAAGAAAATAAGATAGACCAAACCTTGTGGTAAAACAAAAGCAGTTTTACTATAAGCAAAGCAAAGGTCCATGCACGGAAAAAAAAACAAAACAAAACAAAAAAAAAGAAAAAAAAAACCACCACAAAACAAAAAACAACAACCAAACAGATTTATTCTCTACTTCCCATGAAGAGCAATGTCAGGCCTTCTCAGGACGCAGGGCTCCAATACCCGTAGTGGTTGCCTCGGAGGACCAAGGGTGACCCCACCCCCTTCCTCCTTTCTCCCAGCTTTATACTGAGCAGACGTCACATGGTCTGGAATATCCCTCTGGTCAGTTCGGGTCAGATGTCCTGGCTGTGTCCCCTCCCAAGATCTTGCCCACCCCATCCCACTGGGGAGAAAAATGTCAGAAAGAGCCTTGGTGCTGTGTAAGCACTGCTCAGCAGCAGCCACAGCACCAGGGTGCTGCCAACACCCTGCCAGCTCCCAGCATAAACCACAGCACCATGGGGGCTGCTACAGGGGAAAACCAACTCCAGCTCAGCCAGACCCAGTACAATATAGCATATTCAGAAACTTATATTTAAGTTAAAATTATTGCAGAACAAAGGCAAATCATTAAGACATAAAAGAAACTGTTTACTTCCTCTCTAGATGTTAACACCATCTATGCTTTACAAAATCATGGAAATATGAACACAGATGGAATGATTAGAATAACTAAAACTGAAAAGAAAAAACATCTCATTATTGCAAGTCCTCCATGAACATTTCCAGTTTGAGTTCAAAAGTTTTGTGGATCTGCTGTGGTTCTTATTATGCAGCTCTGAGGCAGTTACATCTTAGCCAGAGCATACATAGATACATTCCTACTACATTTGCATTGCAAGATGAAAATTTTTTACATATGTGTATCATTCTGACTTTCTTTTTTTCAGATTAGTGTAGTACTTTCCAAATAAAAATAATCTTAGAAATCATCCCAGTTAAGGAGCTCCCTAAAATATTTCATACATGAAATTTCATGCATGCTGGGGGATTGTCTGCCAGTGAACAATTTACATGTATTTATTGTATATATTTACTTTAAAGTATAATACCAAGCATTTGTTAAGCCCTTGTCTGAACTGGCTGGGCCTTGCAACTTTGGGACAGATAAAGAAGAAAAAATTAAAAATGATTCTGTAATTTATATTGCTGACAAGAATGTGTCACTAGAGTTATAGACGAATTCAGAGCTGACACCGAGAAAACGGTATTCAAATAGTTCATGACTAAGTGTTCACTAAGAGGCAAAGTATAGATCAGGGAATAGCAAAGGAAGTTGTTGGTGGTCAGTTTCAATCTAAGCTAGACAGGAAGAACAAGAGGAATTATAACCTGAAAAAAGGTTTTGCAGGTGAATAGACAGAGAAGTCAATAGACATCCAAGTACAATCAAGGAGAAAGCTGGCCTTCCTTGAAAAAAATAGGTGGGAAATACCAAATGAAGGTTAGTTTAGAGGACAAGAATACTGATAGAAATAATTCTCAGGACAGAGAACTGGACAATAAAGATTTAGAAACTGAGTGCATGAAGAGAAAACCCTTGATATACAGCCACATGTGGAACTGAAATTTGAAGGAAAGTCTAAGATAAATGTAGATGCATATTTATGTTGCAGAAAACAGAGAAAG